AGGATTGCGGTGTGCAGTGTGCTTTTACCTTCTTCCCCAAATACCTGCTGCTGAGAGGCAGAACTGGACCAGACGGGCCTTTCCCCCCACCTTGCTGTCGCAGCAGCACGCAAAAGGCCTGTACGGCCTGTGGCATCTTCGTCTAAATTGGGTTAGAAATTGCCCCTTTGGAGAGCCAGAGAAATGGAGGGATTTGGGACTGACACAACATGAGTGGCATTTAGTTCATGCTGCCTCCAAAATATGCGTCTGGCAGTTTTACAGGGAGAAGATGTGACTTCACCACTCATAGTGGCGGGGGGGGAAAATGTAAACTTTTACAGTGAGTTTTGTTCTTGAGCTCCTGGAGCACAGGGCAGCACAAGGAGCAGAGTGTGGGGTTTGGAACAGAGCTGCGTTTGCTGGTCGCTGAGACTGGATGCTCTTCCCCTGTGGATGCAGAGAGGCTTTCTTTTCAGAGGCAGAAGCCGCTTCTGGGGGACTTCTATGTCAGCAGGGCTTAGGGGCGCATTATTTCTGATAGGCGAGCAAAATGGTGAACTGAACGTGACTCCAGATTTCATACCATCAAATTGGACAGGAAAAGTCTGCGTGTCTCTTAGAGCTGTATTTTTTTTTTCCAAGCTGTTTGCAGATTTGGGAGACAACGCTGCCCCATGTTTTATTTCCGGAAGGTTCTTACAAAATAGGCGTTGGAAATAAGCTCTCTGAAAAGTGCGTGTTTGCTTCTGGGATAGGAACCTGCAGTGAGGTTTGAATTCCACAGCAGATGCTGGTACCGCTGATACCGTTAAATAAGTGGGACCTGGAGTGTAAGGATGAGAGAGGGTGGTTGCTTCCCAAGAATGCCTCTATTTCGTTCTTTGGCTGTAATTAATTACAATAATTTAATGAAATCCTGGTTTTTGTAATGGCTTTATCAGAATTCCTACAAAGTCCCAGTACAGAGCACCTTTTCTTATGAAATTAACCTCCGTCTTTTTCCTGTGTTTCCTGCAAGTAGGAAGCTCTGGTGCTTGCCAGTTTTCATCCCTCTGGTGATTTTGCAAAGTGTAATCATTGTAAAGTGCAATTGCTTAATATGTAGCTCGTTCACTAAAACCCCAAGGATAGAGGCAGTGAGTAATGCGAGTCATTACCAGAGCACTGGTATCTAAAAAGATGAAGAGTCACGCATCGAGTACCAATCCATTTAGGCTTGAATTAAGAATTTAAAAAATCACTAGTCAGATGTGATTGATGTTATCTCTGAGCAAATTAAGTAGTTACCCTGCAACGCTGTGCTGCTACCAATGTTTTTTGGTATTGAAGGGCTGATACTGGTTGCACGCTCCCTACTGCTCTCTTTGTCTATCAGATACCTGTAGACCAACAGCTTTCCCAGGTGCTGTCTGTGTCTCTCCTTTCCAGGCACTGCGTATTTCAGTGCCTGAAATTCAGGAACTTTGTCCAGAAAATATGAAGAAGGGGTTCTGGCTGGATCAGCAACGTTAGGGTTCAAACTCGTGTTTTTCAGTCACGCTTACTTCTATTCAGCCATCCAGGCTCCAACACTTTTTTGCTTTTCTTTGTACTAAATCATAGGAGTTGGAATAGATTTTGTCCCCATCTTATTCCAGCAAGGAACTTTTTGGTCCAAGGACATAGAATTTGACTGCACAATGTACTATAAATGACCAGAGCATTAACATTTCCAGCATCGTTCTGAGAGGGTAGTTTGCAGCTTAACAGGTGGTGTGAGCTATCAACTTATTTTTTACATGCTATGAGGTGCACGAGAGCCTAAACCAGCTCAGTGCTACAGCATGACATTGTACGTCGCAGTCTGAAGGGGCACCAAGGTTTAACACGGGTGAAATGCACACTGATAAATCAGGAGTTATGTTTTGCTTCCAAGGTTTCCTGTGGGAACAAAAATGATAGACTTCCTGAATTACAATGAAAAAAAAACCCCAAACAACAAAACAAGGCACGTACTGGATGGATGCATAGCTCCTTTGAAGTCAGCAGGACTTGGGCAGCATTGTACTACTTGGGGTTCTACCATTAGAGGTGTTATAGTGTCAGTGATATTGTTAGGAACGTGAGGTAATACACAATAAATGACTACATCAGTCTGTGACATTGCTCGTGGACCACATTTATATGGCATTCTGCTGTAGAGTCACCTTTAATTTGTGCATCAAAACCAGACCACAGCCTTCTGCTATGACTTGACTGGTCTTAAAATAGGGGTTATAACCCACAAGCTGTGTTCCCTAGCTAAAAGTATTCCAGGAAATGTAGCATCATACCACAGATCATCTTTAGATTATATTTACTGTAAATTAATCATAGAATCCTAGGTTGGAAGGGACCTCAAGGATCATCTAGTCCAAACTTTCTAGGTAACGTATGTATGGTAGGTAAAGTATGTATAATCTGTTTCTGCATACTAATTTTTTGTCTTTATATCAATTTCTCAAGTCTTTTGGATGCAACTTTTTTTATTCTGCCCTTTCTGTAACTATTGACAAGCCCCTGGAACACCAACAGTGCTGTTAGGGCTTTTCTCCTCCTTTTGCACAGTGTGTTGCTTTGCATTGTGCTTGCGATTGCCCACCATGCCCAGAGTCAGTACCACACATTGTTTTGTTGAGACTTGGGTGTGACCCTTGAACATAAGTAGACAAAATCCTTGGGGACATTACGTTATATGAGAAACTATGGGTTCTTTTCTTTTTTCCCCAGTTGGGTTGAGCTGGGAATCCTCAACAAGAACTGCGAGAAGCAAAACCTGAGGTTTGTCTCCTACATTCCTTAAGGTAGCTGCACGCAGCAGACTATTTTGGAGACACAAACAAGCTGTGCTTTTAAAGGCAGGCTTTAGGAAGCCCCCCAGAATCACCCAGTTATTACGAAGCTGGCTTGCAGGCGTAGTGCTGGGCTATGGGACATCTAGAGCTTGCACAACGTGCTTACAACTCTTGAGGCTGGAACAGATTTACTTCTGTGACTGGCACTGGTTCCATGCACTCATAGCCTTAGCCAAGGAAATGGGGAAGCAGCGGAACATATCCCCTCAAAGGGGCACTTCTGCGTTCCCAGCCAGGAGAACAATCTCCGTAAGACTGGAGAACTGTAGGAAGAGGTCTGCAGAAGGTAGATGCTAAGGCAACATGTGGAGGTTTTTTCACAGTATCTATCACATTGCTTTCAGGCCAATGCACATTTTCCACTATTAAAACTAATAAATCAGGAAAAAAATTATGTATGTAGCTAGAAGATTTGTTGTCCGTCAGTGATTGCAGTGGTTATTAACTGTCGACTCACTGTTCCTTCAGTCAACGCCAACAAGAAGATGTAGAGTCCTTTGTTTCTGTAAATTTGTACATACACAAGTTTGGGTTTTTTTTTTTTCTTTTGTGGAAAGTAATAGTTGACTGGTCCAACACAGAGATTTGTCTTGTGAAAATTAATTGTTGTATGTTGAAACATTGAGATTTTTTTTCTTAATTGAGCAATATTTTGTGATTGCCTACTACTAGTAGTATGGCACATGTCAAAAAAAAAAAAATAACCCAAATCAACAAAACACAGACAGTAAAAAAGCTACAAAAGAATTAAGCCCTTCCCTTTCAAAACTTTCTTTCCTGACGCTAACGTCTCTGCTCAGCGTTTCACTCCAGAAGACTTTTTGTGTTAAGGGTTACTAATGATGGGGAAGGATGTTGTTTCCTCAGTGTCTAACTTGGACCCATTCCTGTTGACGGTGGGTGGTTGATAAGGGGTGACTGCCCATCACCCCGAAATGGCGCTGCATTGTCCTGACTGGAGTGTCTACTTGTGCCGGAATCAATCTGAAGAATCTTAAACCGATTTGTATCTTTTCTAACTGGAAAAATTCTGCGTTGTTAAGCTGAAGGGAGGCTTTAATGACATTTAATAGATACAAATCTCCTATCAATAGAGCTTTCTTTGGTTTAAGAGTAACCTTTTATGTTTCATTTCGGTTGGTCTCTAGCAGCTCTAGATGGGTTTAGCACCGATTCATTGTTTTAATAATAGGTAGAAATCAAACTGGTGCAACCGCCCCGAAACCAGACAGTTTAACTGCAGTGAGGCAAACCCTCCTGCGTGAATATTGCTTGTTAGATTCATGTCTCTAACGATTTTGGTTGGCTAATTCCTTGCCAATATTAGCTTTATCAATATAAACCAGTCAGTGAGAGTCTTTTCATCAATAAGAGCATTTATTATCATCTTGCATAAACAGGAAGAGTTGCATGCACAGATTGGGTATGCTGGTTTAAACCCGCTTGCCGCAATTCAGCTTGGCTTAGTTACTTGGGCAGGTGCAAGCTGAACAAATACAACCAGTGTTAAATGCCTACAAAACAGTTCACATATGAACTGCACTGGAAAAACTAGTTTGAATTTCAAATCAGCCCAAAAAATCCTGAAGTTTCCATAACAGGGGTTTCGCTGGTACCAGTGAATAGACTTTAAAACACCGCAGGTTAGTGAGTGAAAAGGACTCTGTATAATCAGTGAGTTACACCCAATTGCTGGTGTAACCTGGCCTAGAGCTTGGTAAAGGATCTGATAACATTGACCCTCCAGAAAATAGCTTTATTTGCCCCCTTTCTATTTCAAAGTCCAGGGTGGCATACTGAGTTGTCTAAGGCAGAGCGCTATAAATTGGTAACTGGTCCTCCGACACCTCATCGCTGCCGACACGCTCACAGCAGGCGTGGAAGGGCTCAGGAAAAGGTTTTCTGTGGGCTGCGGGATGTACCTGGTGGCTTTCAGGGACTTGCCTGCTCCCCACCTCAACTGGCAGCTCTGACCTTGCCGGGGAGGATGAGGCCCCAGCAGGTGCCCTGCTTAGATCTGGCCTTTTTTAGCTGAAGGTCTGCTCCCTTTCTTTTTTGGTTCTTAGGAAGTGATTGAAATGCTTTTGTCAGTCCATCTGCACCTCGCTGCTCCCAGCTTGCTGCTGCTTGCTGGCTCGCCCTGCTTCAGGCCACCAAATATTTGGGTTCGTCAGGCCGGAGTTTCATGACCTTGTCCACACAGAGCAGGATGAGAGTCAGAAACCAGAGGCTCCAGCCGACGGCCGCCGCAATCCACCCATAATCATCCATGCCTGTGGGGCAGCACGTGGCCGCTTGCCTGCAGAAGTTCACGTCTGGCGGCAAAGAAATGAAGTGAGCTGGTGGGAGGTTAAGTACCTAACAGGTTTCCTTTGCTAGAAGGCAGAAGGGACAGGGACTTCACTGTCACCCCTGTGGCCTCTCAGTTTGCCTCGGCATCTTTGCCCTAAGCCTGGCTCTTAACCTGGGGGATGGCAATATTCAGTTTCAGCTGCATGTCTTCAGGACTTGGTCACCCCTGTCTGGGCAAACACCTGAGCTGCTCCTCTTGCCACTGTGCCCACCGTGACGGAAATCTTTTAAAAACCCACTTAGCATCTCCTCAGTCAGTTTTAGGAATGGAGTATGGTAGAAGTAGCTAGTTAAAATTGGAAATAAACCCAGGGTAGAGAAGCCTTCCTGTGAGAGAGTAAGTGGATCTCTAGCAGAGACACCTCCAGCAGGATCTCCGGTAACTTAGGTACCCAGAACCTCTGCCGGGAATAGCAGCAGTGGCTCCTCTCTGCTGGGCTGTTAACTTGTGTGTCACAACTGCAAAACACACCACCATTGGGGAACCCCTGGTTTATGTGTTTAAAATGAGAGAATTTTTAACAACTCCATGTATTTTTTCTTGCACCTTTTGCATCTTTGTTTGTTTAAATCGGTCCAATTTCCTAAAGTCAGTTAAGGAATATGTCATTAGTAGTTTCATTTATGCTGTTATTTAAGGGCACCTGCCATACTTTTTCCATCGCAAGGGCACAGTGAAGATACCCAGCTCTGTGTCTGCATCCTGGGTGGTAACATGGAAATATCAAAGGGAGCCTGGAGGACCATGGTCTCTTGCCCACTTGGGCTGGAATAGAAGCTGAGCGTGAAACTCCAGCACCCAGGTGAGCTGAGGCAGCCAAAACCACCTTACAGCTACATGCTTTGCGTGTTGACATGCATGAAGCTTGTCAGCTGTGAAAAGTGCATCCCTCCTGACCTTGGTGAGGGCAGCCAGCCGCTTGCACCGTTCCAGGGAAAAGGCAAGCTCAGGTGCTGCTCAGTTGCTCTCATTCACATGTTTTCAGGCAGGACCATGTTCCTGTGTATTGGCCATCAGTGCAGGCAGTAGAGTTGTCCTGCACAGCAGAGAGCAGCTCTTCCCACAACAAGGAGGGCATGTTTTGTAAGCGCCTGGAGAAGGAGGAGGGATGCCTGCCCCAATACCTTCATCCTGCTTTGAAGTAGCGTACAAGGGTACGTGTACATGTGAAGTTGGTACAGGTACTATATTTTGGGAAGTGCAGGCCTGTGGGGATGTTTGACGTTTGGGATGGAGGATGACTCTGGGAGGACTGATGGGATCTCAGGTTCCCTGGGGCTGGCAGTTTGGGGAAGACCTGGTGGGGTGGGGAAAAGAGGTGCTCCCAGGAGTCTGCATTGAGCCTACAGGCAGTCAGTCTGGCAGGGAGCTTTAGGACACACAAATTGAATTAGCTATGAATTAGTCTGTTCAAAGCTATGAGTCCCTCTGAACGTACCTAAGATACACTGGGCATGCCAATGGAGGAGTCTTAGAAATGCATCCTAGAGTTTCACCCGTAACAGAAGCCTTGACAACAGATAAATCCTTTTCCAGGACAGCCTCTCAGTCACCTGTGTAGTCTCATCACCTCGCTTTATCATGGTAGTAATGATTTATGAAGACTTACTAAGGCATGGTGCTTCGTACTCAGTCGTGAGCATGGAGCTTGTTGAAACATTGGAGATGTCTTCAGCTGCTGCCAGAAGGAAAGCACAGGAGAAAAGGCAAGTTGGATTAGAAAAGCAACACTGGGCATCAGGCATGAAAATCTGAAAGCCATTGGTCTTGCAGAGGTCTGTGGGATGGAAAAAACTTGGAGAAAATAAGTCCCTGCTCCTAAATGCTGCTGCATCAGGGTACGCTTTCACAGCCCAGCACTGTCAACACAGGCTTAGGGAGACTTGCTGTAGCACCAGCCGTACGGAGCAGCTGGATCACCATGCCTCTACCCGTGTATGACCCTGGTGCATTTACTCACAGCTCAAATTAGCCACCATCCTTTCCCAAGCTACAGGTGTAGAATGAGCAGGGACTGAAATGAGAGAAAGCATCCAGTGGCATGGGGACATCCATGGCCAGCAAGCTGTACATCTACCTCCTCTTGCCCTTAGAAAAAATCACAGTAACTCTGGGGTGCAGAGGAGTCTGGCAGAGCCAAGGGCTGAGCCCATCGATGCAGATCCTCAGCAGATCCACCACAGCCTCAGCAGGACGCTTCGGCTTTGCTGCGGTTTAGGCGCAGCTGAGTCTGTTCTGGCTGGGCTCCGGTTCAGGCCAGTGTGAGCTCATTAACCAGCTCTGGTTGGAAAATACAACCTACAGAAATAAGTAAGGGAGGAAGGGGCCAGGGGCCTCAATGAAGGAGGTTTTGACTCTTTATCCTGCTTCCTAGCCATCGTCTTGGCACACCTGCACTCTGGCTCAGTGCTGCGGCTGGTCTCCAGCCCTCCAAATCTCTATGTGGTGCTACACGCCAAAGGCTTCTTAGACCTCCTAATACTGGCCTTGCCCCTCATTTTCAGTGTGCACCTCGCAGCACTGCAGGATCAGGTGCAAGGACAGCTGCAGGACAGCCGTGCAGGCAAGGCACGGGCTGCTGGGATCCCTGTGCATCAACACCAGCCCGTCCCCCGCTGCAGAAAGGAGGGAGTCAAATCTCCTCCTATGCCACTATGAGCAGTATAGTTTGAGCTCAGCCAGGCGAAGTATCCCATGCTGCTATGGTCCCCTGCAGAGGTACGTGAAGAACACAGCCTGGGAAGATGACAGGAGTTAAGGACTCCTGCTGCATGCAGATGGAAGGGCTCCAGCGTGCTGTTGGCCCGCAGACCGAGAGGAGGCTATGAGAGAGCTATTTCCAGTCAAACCACCACTCTGAGCTGATAATTTGGAGCGTGATAGAAATTCAGCTCCAGCTTGATTTCAATGAAGACTTCAAAATAATGGCTCAGCTTTAGTTTCAGCTTAGGAAAACAAACCAGAATAAGATCTTTGACCAAACCTTTGCTTTGAGTTTGGTATTTGCCAAGTAACAGCAACCAAACTGAGGTTGTCCTGTGGGAGATGTCCCCCTTGGGGTCACCTGCTGTTGTCCAGCTTTACATTTAGAGCTGACTGACCATCAGCAAGACCAGAGCTTTCCTCACGGCCGCTGCCATGCTGGGAGCCGTCCCCATGCAGCCTGCTGCAGTCTGAGTACCCCCCATTCCTCGTTCTGACTCTGCTAGGACTTGCTGAATGACCTTGGCCAAGCCCGTAATTTGTTTTCTGGGTTAATAAGTACCTCACGGGAGCACTGGGAAGAATCATTAAAAACAGTGTATGACCTGTGGAAGAAAGTGCTGCAGAAGGCCGAGCCTCGGTTCATGTTTATAGACTTCGCAGCCAGAAGGACAGGCTGTCAAAGCTAACCCATCTTTAAACATCTGGCTGGGCGCAGTTGGTGCTGAGATACAAATGCAGGCAGTAGCCTGATGGGAAAGGAACAGCTCACAGGTCTTGTTTACATTTTGTTTAAAGGGGGCACCAAAGGCAAATTTCCTGCAAAAACCACCTACTAAGAGCTAAACCAGAGTACAGTGAGCCCCTTGGGTGGTATTTCAAATGGTCCCTTGCCTCAGCAACCACGCGAAGGCCAAGTAACTGTGGTCCCCTGTCTCCTTGCCATTCAGCAGAGCAACCTGCAGCTCAGCCCCATTTACAGTGGATCTGTAAATAGCTGGCAAAAGCACGTCTCCTCAGGAAGATGCTGTGATCAATCACGTCAAGTAATTCTCATTAGCATTAATCAATTCCAGTTCTTTACACTTTTTAGATGAGGCAAGGGAACCTACCTTGTTTTGAAAGAACAAATTACTGTCAGTGGGCAATATATTTAAATATTGAGAGGGGTGGGGGGATAGGCAGGGTATAGAAACTGGAGCATAAGAGAAGAGAAATACCTGCTGAGCAGGAATACTGGAGCGCAGTGGTGAAGAAGAGCACAGCGACGGCTGCCCAGGGCCCTCCAGAGAAAGGCATCGTGCTGGGGGTCCAGCTCCCACCCCAGCAGCCGCACAGATCAGGTCGCTGTCGCCGGCAGCTCTGGTTCAGCAAATCCCCGACAAGCTCGGAGAGCTGGAGTGCAGGGCAGAGGGTGGAGCAAAGGAGCTTCCTGCTGCCAGGACACCCTGAACTTTCCTGCCACAGCAGGGTGAGGGAAGAGAAGGGCTCTGACCAAAACAGCTCCAGCAGGAGGTGGATACCAGCACCGGGGCAGGTGGAGGGCCCCTGAAGGTCGAGCCTGAAGGTTTCTCCCCAGGACCTGCTGCAGCCGGAGAGTGGAAAGGCTTCTGGAGCCAGCCCTTCGCCACGGGGTCCTGGGCAGCTTCTGTCTTCTGAGTCTCCTTTTGGTCCTGCAAACATATCTAATAGGGTTGGAAAGGAGTGGAGGATCAGGGTAGAGAGTTTCTCTCCCTGTTTGGCTTTGGTTTTGCGTGTTTGCTGGCTTGACCCCACCCTGCAAAACTTCCCAGCAGTGATGATTTTTTGGAAGGGCTGTCTGGAAGCTTTCAAAAAAAACCAAACCAAAAAACCAGTCTTTGGTCACGCTGATGCAGTAGCCATTGGGTTAGCACAGGCTATGGGCATGTTTCCACTGAGAAAAGGGGTGGAACCAGTTGCCTCTGTAGGCTGCTGACAGCTCTTACAGAGTAACAGCGGCCTTTCCTTAAGGACCTGCGTTGGGTTACGGGTTGGGACGCGTTCAAGCTCGGGGCCCCTCTGCACAGGAGAAACTGCTGCCGCTCTCGCCCCATGAGCACAGCCGTCTTGCTGCCTCTGTCACCCACGTGCAACATGGTGCTGACAGAGCATTTTCTTTTCTCCTCTTGTAGTTACGCCACCTCCTCCGTGACACAGGCAAAGCCAAGAGCTGCTCCCTCGCACCAGCACAGCTCTATCTGCAGACCAGGAGGGTCGCTGGCAAAATTGTATTGGCTGGAGGGCAAGATTTTTTCTACAGTCCTGGCTGGAAAAGCCATGTTGTTGAAGTGCTTGTGGTGGTGTCCTGGTCTGATGAGCACCGCACGTCACTGCTGTTCCCAGGCTGTTGGCTTTGCTTGTTCCTATCTTTGACCCACCACGATGTCCTTGCTAGATAAGACTTCAGGCATTAAATCTGGCAGGAAGGCACTGGGAGAGGTGGGCTCAGCAGGGAACAGGTTGCTGGTGCTCTTCAGCGTTGGTCACTCAAGGCTTTGTGTGCTCATGTGAGAACCAAGCTGTCTGGGGCCTGTTCGGGATGTGCAGCCATCCCATGGGAGGCCAGGAGGAAGATGCCTGGGGCAGCAATCCTAGTAGGATGGGTAGTATCTAAAATTTTCTCTTTTTTTTTTTTCTCTCTACACTGCTGAAACCTGCAGGGACGGCAGTGAGCTACATACAGCGGGGTGCTGCTGTGCAAAACTATGAAATTTGTTTGGTTTCCTGGTGTTCAGAAAAAACTTGAGAGGAAAACCCAGGTAGGCTTAGCCCTGCCCCACATTTCTGTAGGGCGAACAAACCCACTTGTCCTCCCCACTGGCCAACCCCTGCCACCAAAAATGCTCTGCTCCCCTCCAGCTATGAGTATTTCTACGATGCAGCCGGAGGCTTCCCCCAGAGACAGGGCCCACCAAGCCGCAGGGGAAGGGCGGGCCGCCG